GGGGGGGGGGGGGGGGGGTTGCGGCTTGGGGAGGGGGGCGGCGCGCGCGGCAGCCGCTGCTTTCCTTTCCTTTCGTTGCGGTTGCCCGGCGGTGCGGTGGGATGCTGCTCCATGGAGCGGGCTCTCCGCGGGTTGGGCCGGGCTTGCCGGGGCCCCCGGCTGCCTTAGGAACGCGAAAGGGGGGGGGAGGTGAACTCTGACTTGCCCGGTTCAGCGTTGTTTGCACGTATTAAACATCCGGTCCTTCACCCAGACCCTGTCCTGCCTCCGCTGGTGCGCCGTGATGTTGTCAGTTCTGACCGTCAGCTGGGGACTTCAATAGTTCCTTGTACGGCAAGTTCTTGGCTCGCTCGGCAGGCGCGCACAGAGCCCTTTGCTCGCATCCGTCGCGTTAGGCTGTGTGACCTGCTGGCTGGAAGCTACAACAGCGTTCCAGTTCCAATCTGTGTTCTGTTTGACTTTATCATTTATAGTACTTTCATATGGCAGTGTTTTCTAACTTTGTCACGATCGTTTGAATTCTGAAAAATCAATGTTAGTATCTACAAATGTTTCTTGCGATGCTGTGAAGTCAAGAATAGTGCCGGTGCCAGCCAGGGAATTACAGATATTCAAAACTTGATAGGCTGTATTTGCTGTGCAGAATAGCCTCCATAGGTTGTGAATAGAAATTATTGCTGTACGTGCTGGTGGTCATCCGCTGCTTTTCAGCCTTGTGCAGCTGTGTTGGTGAGGATGCTCCTGCCTCTGTGTGAGCGCAGCTGTTGCTGGCACCGGTTAGGGCACATCTTCAGTGCAGGGAACTGCAGGAAAGTGGCTGTGTAGACAGAAAGCACAAATTCTGAACTAGATTTTGTAGGCTGCAATTCACGTGACCCATTCTGTAGTGCTCTGCATTTGTGAATTAAGGCATGTTTTAACACATAGCAGCTTTCATTAAGTAATTCCTTCTCCAGCCCAGTCCTGCTAAAGCACATACATGTTTGGAACTGCTTGAAGTATGTAAAATTTCCTATATGGGATCACCTTTTTGGTCTTTGAATAACAGCCCATTTTGATTTATTGAAAATAGTTAAGCTAAGTATTGTCATATACGTGTCGCTGTACTGGGGAGACTGCAGCAAGAGATCAACAGCTGCCTAAGTAACCATACAGCGTGCAGAGCTGTAGACCTTATTCCCTTGTTTATCAAAGTGATCAGTGAAGTAATATCAACTAGAATAATTTGCTTCTGTATGGGAATTGTTGAGTCACAGCTTGAACCTCTGGTTGAGTACCTGGGGAAGGGACCTGGTCAGCCCTGAAAGCACATGTCACATAGCTGAACTGCCTTCACAGGGAAGGGTTGATCCTGGCTGCAGCTCCCCTAGACCCATTTAAGGGCTGACTGCCACTGGGAAAGGTTTCTTTCTGGAGATCTCTCCTTGGTGAAGCTTTCCTCTGTGAACCTGGAATCTTCTAATACAGGGGAGCAATCTTCCTTTACAGCACCTTTCTATTGCGCTGGTCCTTCCATCATCACACCTTTGTAGTAACACCTTTCCCATTGTATTGATCTATTCAATTGCTACAGCCTGAAATTGGACATTGTTTACTGTGTCTTCCTTGTGGCTCTGAAATTAAGTTGTTAAGAGAATGGATGCCATTTGGCAGTAGTTATACTTTTGACCCATCCTTCTAGTATAAATCAAGAAACATGCTTGATTTAGTAACTTTATTCCCAAGGAGATAGGTACTTTCTTATTGTAAAAGTTACTGTAAGATAGGCAAACTGCAAAAAGCACATGGCTGCTTGGTGGGATCCAAGCAGAAGAGAAAATTTGTTTCCTTCTCTGAAGCATCTTGGGTTGTTTTTGCTCTAGTTGAACACAAGTGTCTGTCTCTTCCGGAACCATAAATGGAATGCTGTGGCACAATTTTATACGTTCTCTCACTCCTGTAGCAAATGTCAGAGTTCATTGGCTGGATTATGAAGTGTAGTGCAATTGTATGCATTCTGTAATTTTGATTTTTTAAAAAGGTAGAAGTATCTGGGTATGTTTAGACAGTAAAGTCTAAGCACTTGAGAAAACTGGAAGAGGAAATTTGTAATACACAAGCTTACAATACTTGTTTTGTGGTTCTGCTAGCTATAGCAGCAAATATCTGGCACACTTAGTACATTTCATCCAAGAAACTTTGGGTGCTTTAAGGTCATGAATTCAGTATTGACACAAATGTGAGACAGTACTAGGGGCCTCACTTCATGCACATTCACATTAGGTGAAAAGGGTTTGACTGTGTTTTTGGCTATGTTTAACTGTGTTATGACCTAGTTATAGGTGAAATAGATTTGACTATGGAAAAAACTCTATAAAACCTTGGAGATCTAATGGAAAGTTAGAACTGGGGTATTCTTCTTTTGTTTGTGTGCTTATTTTTCTTTTAATGTAGAATTTCATGGTGGAAGAGTAACATCAATGCTGTTCACAGTGGAAGTGAAAGTCTGGGGGATAGCTGGTGGGTTGGTGATCCAGGGTTTTGTTAGTAAATGCTAGTTGTTTACTCCTTGCTCTATTTGTTCTTTCTGCTGGGCTTTACCATTTGGCATTGAATAGCAGTGTAGTTAGCACTGACAAGATGCAGAGAGGTGTTTTGCAAGGTCTTGTATTGATTTCAAGCCTTTTGCATTGTTTTATTTATTTATTTTTATTTTTGTGTCAACATAGATTTGACCCTGTTTTTCTTTTCCTGAAGTTCTGTCTCAGCACTGATTTTTGTGATGTGGGTGATAAGCTGCTTGGGCTTTAAACAAGCATCTTAATGGTATGGTGTTTTAGGACTCTAATTCCCTTTTTCTAATTCCTGCTTTCTCTACTGCTTGCTGCTTTCCCTATTAGATTTTAGTACTAGAGTCTTCTTTCCCTGTGAGTAGAAAACAAACAACTTAGGAATCGTTGATTTCCAGCTGTATTGGCCAGAGGTGCTGCTACAGTAGTAATAATATTTTGTCATACTTTTTACAGGCTGATTTGGTTATAGGAGCTAAGTAGGTAAATGTTAGAATGAAGTGTTTGAACAAATACAAATACTTATTTTGGGATAATATGCTGCTGTGCAATTCAGTTCTTATGCAGAAGTAAGCTAAGGCAGTGACTGATCTGATCCTTTGAAAGGAGGGGATGTCTTAAATTCTCCTACAAACAGGAGAAATTTGTTAGGTGCTTTGTATCTATAGAGAACTGAAACATTTTGTTTCCTTGAGGCTAGTAATCCTGCACATAGGCAATAAAAATGCTGTTTGTGCAAGCAATTAGGACAGGTGTTGGTTCTCATTTTTACTCTGTGAGTCAGGAGTGAAAGCCAGCATATTTTTATTGCTGCAAGTAGTCCATGAGATTAGAATTCAACTGTGTTATAAAAGGGAAAACTTAGGTGGGAAGCTTGCTTGCTGAGACTGTTACTGGTAAAGACTCTTCACGTGTCCAAAGTGACTTGCTCAGAGACTTGAGAGCGTCCAGTTCCTGGAAGGCTTGGTGTTAATCTTTTTTATTTGATCTTTGAGGGTGATACATCAATCCCAGTAGTCTAGATTGGGCCCGGGTGAATATCAAGCCAGGTGGAGTCTATGGCTTTTGATGCTGCAAAAATGGAATGGATTGGGCTTGAGGCAGTATTCAAAATTACACAGAGCTGCTCTTTTTCCTTTCGTCCAGATTAAGTAGTGCACATAGGGGAGGTAGTTACAGGCTTCCTCCCCTTTTGCAAGTTGTTATAATAGAGTCATAGAACAGTTTGGGTTGGAAGGGATCTCTAAGATCATTTAGTTCCAACCCCCCTGCTAGAGGCAGGGACACTTCCCACTGGACAAGTATGTAGTTGTGCTTGTTTAACCTCTGGGAGGGTGGCAGGAGATGCTCAGAAAGGTTCATCTACCATTTTAATACGGAGTTAGAGGTTTATCTGGATGGCCTTAATATGTAGGTGTTGTAGGTATTTTAAGTTCAGGCATACAAAGGATATTTGTATGTACACAGTAAAAATCACCTTTATGACTGGGGAAACATGTATTAGATAAATGTAAACTTTCTACTCATTTTGTCTACTGTGCTAAGCAGTAGAACGAAAAAGATGGAACACGATCAGCAGGAAGTCTGTATTTCTGATTACTTGGGAAGGCTTTTTGATTGAGTACCAGCTGGATCTGTGGTGGTGTCTGTATGGGATCCCTTGTGTTGTAATGGAACATAACTGAAGCCCTGATCCAAATGTGTAGTGGCAGGCAAAAGAGATAGGGCTAATACTGCCTGCTCTTTGGCTTACTTTATTTATCAGCAGCTAACATGAGAACTTTGTCACTGATCCATGCTTTATAGAATATAGCACGTAAGTTGAAGAGCTTTACTGCTTGAAATGTTGAGTCAAAGTTTCCTGTACAATTAATTCTTATCCTGGAGAAATACCAAAGCAATGTAGTTCTTAGAAGTAAAAGTTAAATTTTTAAGAGTTAGTCTTGTAACAAACATACTAGAAGGAAACTTTTAACCAATGTTGTTTTGTAGTCATAGGAGAAGGTGGCTTACTGTCCTTTTGAAAGTAGTAACTGCTGTTGATGCAGTAGAAAGATGGGAAAGTGTTGTGTGGTTCACTGCCTTTACTCTGGTAGGGAGTTATGAGTATTTATTTACTCATGCTGTCCTTTTTTTGTCAAGTGTCTGAGTCTGTTGGTATACCTCCTCTTTTTTGTTTTTTTGCTATCTGCTTGTTGAGTTAGTGGTACAAAATCATATCTCACAGATCTTTTCATCTGTCACCTATTTTTAAATCGTAGAATCGAAGGATTGCTCAGGTTGGAAAAGACCTCAAGGTCATCAAGTCTAACTGCAACCTAACCTTGCTACCCTAACTCTAACAACCCTCAGCTAATTCATGTCCCTGAGCACCACATCCAAGTGCCTTTTAAACACATCCAGGGATGGCGACTCAACCACCTCGTCTAGTGAAAATAAGTGTTGGACTTCAATCATAAGGGGTTTTTTTTGAATGCTTTTCTTGCAGGAAGCAAAGCCTTCAGCTGAGGACTTAGGAGATAAGAAAGAGGGGGAATACATTAAACTCAAAGTCATTGGGCAGGTGAGTTTTTGCTTAATGGATATCTGGGAGATGGTGTGAATTTTTAAACTATTGAAATGAATGGGAGAAAGTTGATACTGTAAATTGTTCAATGTGAGTCTTCCCCTCCAGACCCCAAATAAACTATTTACTAACTGTCAGCAATGTGTGATAGCATACTCTTAAATTTGGGTCTTTGCATTTCATATACACCAAGTGTGAGATCAGCCCTACTGGATAAGAATGGGAAGAGGATTCTGTTGATTGACTTGTTGGTAATGGGTGCTGGGTTGTAAGTCCGAATTTGTATTGTTTAAATAGATACCTAACTTCTTTCTGAACAGAAGTCTTTCTCCACAGAGAACCATTAGTTCATCTGATTTAACTCATTTGTTGGAATATTAGTGCAGTTGTTTTTTACTGGAGACATGATTTTAACTGGTGCTAACATAAACTCAAATCTTGCTGGTTTAATCACCTATGATGAGAACACATTCAAAAGCTGTGTGACCCATGTACTGTTTGTGCAGAACCTTCTGTGGTCTGCTTTATCTGCAGCCATTTTGACAAATGCAGTGAATTGTACCTTATTGCTTGTAGGAAGGGCTACAGAATAATGAGAGCTGAGATTTTGCTTTATGTTGATGTTATGTTGCCAAGTCAGCCTGTATCCTAAGTTCCAGATAATTGCTCTATTTGAACAAGGTTTTGCATATATTTTGAAATACAAGCTTTAACTTGTCTCGTGGAATCTTAGAGCAGAAGTCCCCTGCATATGTATGTTTGTAAGTATGTCAGCTGGTTAAAGATGGAGTACAGACTGAGCTGAGTATGGTATTTAATACTTCTAAATCCAAAAATGTCCATAGTGAGCCAAAGGCTATACTGTGCCATCTGTTTTAAAACAGGGCTTCCTGCAAAAGTGATGAATGTAAGTGCATAAGATGAACCTCCTAAGATGATTTAGCAGTCACTAAATCATGCCCAGTGATAGTTAAATAATGTTCTGTGTTACTTTTTCTGTAAGACTTTCTTAATGAAACCCTTAAAATGAGCATAGAAAAAGCAAGCAGTTACTAAAATAATCTTTTTTTTTCTTTTCTGTTCTTAGGACAGCAGTGAAATTCACTTCAAGGTGAAAATGACAACACACCTCAAGAAACTCAAAGAATCATACTGTCAAAGACAGGTTTGTGAAACAGTGACACTGGATGTATAGTGGCTGGTCAGAAGGTGTGGAAGTGATCTTTTAAAATGTCCACGCTTGCATTTATAGTTACTGTAAAATCTTCTGGGTCCCAATTCCTGTGAAATAGAATACTGCGGCTTGGGATGAGGGCAGCCTTAGGCATTGTTACTGTCAAAAGTATGGTAATAAGTTTACACTAGCTATTATACCCTAACCTAAAGAAATATTCAGTATTAATAGTTGGTACAGGTAAATAGTAACTACTGCTCCAGGACAGAAAATACATGTTCACTTGCAGGTTCTGTGGCAGATACTGTGGATTCACTGATGCTATTTCTAGTGGCCCTGGCCTACTTCACTCCTAGCTTTGGGAACAGATGCCTTATATGGCCTTTTCTTGAGCAATTGCATGGAAGTTCAATTCAGTGGATAAAATTATTAAATAAAAAAAAAAAACCACCTTTTTAGTGATGAGCTCAATTTGCATCAAAGTATGGCCAGTTTTGTTGAAATGCCTTTTTTATACTATGATGCATTAGATTTTCTGTGTCTTTGTACACTGATGTTGCTATATGGCCTCCTATCCTACTAGAGAAGGAGATAAAAGGTTAAACGACAGATATCTTTGTAGCAAAAATGAACAAATTATTAAAATTGGCATTCATCAGAAAACTTAAAAGCAGATTCTGGAAATCATTTGTGCAGTTAGTCGTATTCACTGTTGGAAATGCTTGTGCAGACTTTTTTTCCTGAGAAATCCATGTTTCAGCAGACAGAACTATCTCCATCTCCTGGCTGAATGCTGGAGAGTCCCACTTCCTTCATCTATAGTCAACACTGGTTTTGGTGTCAAGTAATCTTTCTCTTCTAGAGGGACATCAAGCATTTCTTCCAAGTTGCCCAGAGGGATTGTTGGAGCATTGTGGAAAGCTTTTCCTACTTAAGAGTTGTTCTGCCTAATAATTTGCAAGCAGTATTTCTGAGATGTAATTGATGCACTAAACAGTTCATATTTCACTTACACTTACTTCGCTGATATGCATATGAAAGAAGAGGAAAAGGTTAGATGTTTGTCTTAGTTGAAAAGGTGAAGTGTGGTATTGAGTTTAACAGAGGAATACTGTACACTGGACCTCATTTTATTTGCTCTTGGGGTGCACCTTTCTCTGCTCCCTATCCTTCACAGTGTAGAGCTTTTGCAGAGCTTGTAGCTGTAAAGGATACCATCCTTTCTTACAGTGATATACGATTGTGAAAGCACGAGTAGGAGTTCCTGAAATACACACATTCTGTATGTTATGCTAGTCTTTAATAAGGCTGATAAATGGTTCAGAAGAAGGCTGCACCTTCATGTAATGTCTTGGAAGAGAGGGTATAGTTGGTACTTTAGAGGAGGTGAGGGGGGAAATGCTAAGAAAGTTTCCCAGTTCTTGAGCTAGAAGAGCTTTACTGTAACTTTGGAAGAACTATGCAGTTCAGAACCATTATTCCCCTCAAGACACTTGGTAGTTTACGTGGGAGCAACAGGATAGCTGAGCTCTCTGTGTAACAAGAAACTACACTTTCTTTTTTGACTTACATGTGTGTGGTTTTTATTAAAAAATGTATTATCAATGTGTACATCTCAGTTGAGTTTTTCTTATGCATTTCTTTTTTTTTAAGGGTGTTCCAATGAACTCACTCAGGTTTCTCTTCGAGGGTCAGAGAATTACTGATAATCATACCCCCAAGGAGGTGAGTTTCTTTTCAAAGAGTGTTGCATACAGCATTCAGTGGAGAAACTAAATGCAAAATTTGTTAATCTGTTCCGCTGAACTAATCTGATTTGTTTCTTTAAATATAGCCGACCTCTTAGAATATATCTGACTAAATGTAGTCTGACTGTACTTGTCTGACTGAAGTTTTTAGTAAGGCTGGTACATAGGTCAGGAAAAAGACTGATTGGACCTTCACATGTAATTTTCCCTCAGAAGAAAGATGTAGTCACTGCTCATCAGTGAAAAAAAATCTGAGGGAGCTGATCAGTTGTTGAAATAGATCTTCAGCTTGAATTTGAAACGAACGTGTATTTTGTTCACATTTATTAGATGGAAGTGTAAATAAACAGCAAACAGGTTACTTCTGCTGTACAGTGACTTCCACCAATTGTTATGATAAAGCAGGAAGAAACATTGAAATATAATGATGACTTTCTAGAAAAAAATCAAACGTTGAATTCCACAATGAGCAGGTTACTTTGAGACAACAGCTGTGAACAGGCTTTGAGTTGCAAGCTGTCGGTCTTAGTGGTATCATGCTTAGCAGCATGCAGTATATAGTCCATATGGCTATACAGCAGATGCATTCACAGTGTTGGTAGTTACATTCCTGTGCTTCTGTTGCCTGAGAAGGAGTTCAGAGGAGAGTAAAGCTAGTAATTCCCAAGCTGATGTGTACTGCTTCACAAGTGGATTTAGACTTCACAGATAAGATTATTGCTTTGACTGAGATGTGCTGAAAAGTATATGATGGAAGAAAAAATACTTAAGATTGTGAGTGTTGGCTAGTAAGGTATTGAAAATTTTTTCACCCCTTTGTCCTTTGAAAAATTATGGGACAGGAGAACAAAGCATCAGATAGCTTTTCTAGGACCTGCTCTGAATTCAGTGCACCAGATTTATAACAATTGTGCTGTTTTTTCTTTGTTCTCACAGCTGGGGATGGAGGAGGAAGATGTGATTGAAGTTTATCAGGAACAGACGGGGGGTCACTCAACAGTTTAGATCCTTCTGTTTGTTTTATTTCCCCTTAATCCTTTTTTATTTTTAAATAATAGTTCTTTTGTAATGTGGTGTTCAACACTGAATTGAAACTGGCACCCCATCTCTGGGAGTTTATTTTCAAGCGTCTGGTATTTTAAATTCTCGTGCTCATTATACACTATTGTTTCTGTTTCCATTGTGCTGAACTTCTGTGATCCAGCTGCAGCCCTGCTCTCCTTTTCCCTTCCGCCCTCCCCTTTAGAAATACACGTACACACATGCATTTGTATGTTCACTAGGTTCGTGCATTTCAGGCACGAAGGTTGTAAGATCTGCCAGGTGGGCGAGTGTTCTTAATGACTTCCATATCTGCCCTGAAGTTTTGATGTGTGACTGTTTCACTCCTGGACTATAACTTTCAGTGCGAGATGAAGTTTTTCAGAACTAAACTGTGGAGAAATCATGTATCCATAACTCAGAGCTATTTTGCTTAAATTGTGCTGATGGCCCAACGAAGAAGATCAGAGTTTGAAATGAAAAGGCTAGAACCGTTGTCATCTGTACCTTGCTCCAGAGATGGCTTTGCTGAAGACATAGAATTGAAAACCCTAATGAATCTTAAATCTTGCCAGAAGAGCCCAGAAGCATTTTAACTTCATATAGCAATTAGTACACGCAGGTATTCATGCAAGAATGTTCACAGCAGGCAACTGGTGTTACTTTGACACTCTTGTTTGTACCTTTTGGCCTGGGACATGGGTTTTGAATGGACATTGTCTGTACCAGCTTCATTTAAAATAAACAAGAAAAACGATTTTGTAAACAATTTGCATTTTCTTTTCAAATGTTTGGAAATGAACAAAAATGTGAAAGGAGATAACTGGGGCTTTCCTGTCTAGTGCCTCTACATAGAAGGCAGAAGAAAAGTTGTGGTCTGTAAACATACCTTGTACAAAACCATTTACTTTTTTTTTCATTTGAATAAGCAATATGCTTACTGGTTTGGATAACAGGTGACTCTTTAAGACTACTAGCTGTTTCTTGTCCTGTTAGGGAATGTTCACGTAGTTACATACTGCTTCACTTCATGCACAAAAGTTAGACTGAAGATGCAACTTGGAAGAGAATACAAGGGTTTAATATCTACATTTCATATGACTATGGTACTAATGAGTGATCTATCTATGATGGATGACATGGGAGTGTCGAGATGCTTCAGCTCACTCGAAGGTCATGTTCATGTTGTAGCTAGTTGCAGGTTCCAAGTAGCCTTGAAAACCTTTGATTGGGTGTGAAAGCTCATATGGAAGGTTATAAGCAGGGCAAGATAGCAAAGATTTCTGCATTGTACCTGCTCCAGTTTTTCAGCAGGTGGATAGGACTTGTTCTTGGTTTTGTAAATCAAGTTCATTTATGAATGACAGATTAATTTAAAAGCATTTTAGTGCTTGGAAGAAATTGCAGATGAGCTGTCCGTGATCAGTTTTTATGGCTCTTGCTATAAAGCTGTACAGGAACTTTCCTTCTTGTGGTTTGTGTCTGATTTTATTTATTTACTAATACTTTTGTATGCATAGTAGAACTGAAATTTTTTAAAACATTAAAACTTTTGATTAATAAATGTTAGAATATGGGACTTCAATTTTCAGGTATTCTATATAATTCAGTTCTTCCCACTGTGATGGCTTCTTTGGACTTAGCTCCAGTTGCTTTTTGAGAACAATAAATGTACCCTCTTCAGAATACCAGAAATAAAACAGCCTTGTGATTACTATCAGATCATCTCTAATTTAATTTTTGTAATGCTCTTGTTAGTAGACAAGTTCTCATTATCCCACTTCTGCAAATTAAGAACAGAGGCGCAGGGGACAGTGGTTTACTGAGGTCACTCAGGAAACTGAAGGTGGAGATGAGAAAAGAATCCAGTTCCCCCGTGTTTGATGGTAGCACTGTTGCTGCGTCAGCTTGCTTTGGTTCCTGCTGTTCACTTTACTCTTTCGAGTCTGATTTACGTGCTCTTCCATATCAGTTTTCTAGTTTTGAAGCGCTGCCTCACCAGAGGATATGGAGGAGAGCTTCCTGGCAAATGCTATTGCAGCTTCAGTGGTATGAAGCTCAAGGCTAAGGTGTTTGGTTTTTTTTTTCTGTTGCATACCATTCCCCTGAAACACCTCTGTTTATAGAGTGAACATGATACTAGTGGCAAAATGACTTCTTTTTGATCCCTTATCAAGGATCTAAGGCAATGTCTGTGCAGTTGCAACAGTTTATGGAACAGTAATAATAGGGAAACTGTACTCTGACTACAAGATTAGCACTGAGAGCTTCATGTAAAATGTGAGGATAAACAAGCTACACGTGCATTGGTGCCTTTTTAAGGAACTTCGTTTTTTGAAAGTTGTACTTTGAAATAAGCCATACATTCTGAAGTTGAGAGGATGAAGACTTGGTTTTTCTTCTTTCATTTCTTTGGATCAAGTAATTTCCAAAAAACTGTTCTGAGAAGATGATCTGAATTGCTCTTTCTAAATCAGTCATGGATTTGAAGCTCATGACTGGACATCAGTCTCCTTTGTATGTTGGAGAAAAATAGACAAAAATTTCTTCCTGCTTGTGAAATTTGGCATCCTCTTCACTGATGTGCTTACCTGTTTATCAGAAAAGCTCAGATCAGCTGTTGATAGCTGCTCCTGCTCAGTGGTTTTTGGCTGTTATTGTTTAGAAAAGTGGTGAATGTTGGAAAAAGAAACAGACTTAACAGCAGGAAGATGTAGAGGCTATTCACTTCAAATATTAAAGCAATTTAAATATTTCTAATTATGAGTTAATGTACTTGATATTCATTATACTGTGTAAAAACTGCATTGGTAAATGCTGTATAAGATATCAGGTTCCATGTGGAGGTCTTTAAAGCTTATATGCTTGAAGTATTTGTATATTTTCTTAAATACGTTTATATCTACATAATCAATTGTAAATTCAAGAAAATGAAATTTAGAAGTTAAATGTTTAAATGCTTGCAGGCTTTTTAGAACCTATGCTTGATGCATATTGAATTCAAGTGAAGTTAAGCTTCAGCTTAGGGAGATCACAGGATTTGATTACTCTTCTTTGCAGGAGACTCTACAGGAACAGCAATACAATTTGGATCTACAAATGTCATTTTCTTTCACTAGATAATATTAGTCAAACAGAAAATAAGATGACTGGCAAAGGAAAGTTCTTGTCTTGCTATAGTTTATCTTACTGTTGATACTGAAAACTTGCCTTTTCTGAAACAATAGCACATAAATTGATTGAGTTGGGTGTTTCTTCCAAAAGTCAGCAGTAAGGTCTTTATACCTTTTGTAAAAAGACAATTCTATTTTTGTTTCTTCTTTCTACTGAAGTGGGCCCAAAAATCTATGGTGAAGCTGCGAAAGATAAGCAAAATGTATTCTGGCATCTCAAATGGTTATAAAGGTTATCATGGTCTGTCTAGGTTAATTTTCAATGGCTGATAAAACATGAATGCTTTTACATCCTATCAATGTGATGTGTATACACACCGTAGTTGCAATCTGGGAAAATAGCTTTGGGAATGAGAACAGCACCAATTTGGTAAAGAGAAAAACATTGCTCCTCTTTTGAATAAGGTTGGTACCTTTAGCTGAAAGAGCTCACTGCAGTGACCCATACCAAGTATTTATTTATTCTGTGTGGTTTTTCAGACCTAGCTTTTCAAGTAGCTGAAAATAACAAAACACCTATGGATGAGAAGTATTTTGTGTTCTAGTCCAGTAGCTTCGATTAGCAGCGCTTACTAGAATTACAGATGTTGCTTCGTTGTCTCCTCTTTGCCTGCAAACTGTTGATAAAATGGACCAAAAACACAAGTCAGACTTCCTCAGGTTAGAAAGCTGATGTTTTGACTTGAAACCTGTGAACTCAGTAGGCTCATGGCTGGCTAACTGGTGCTTTATGCCAGTATGTAACACTGCCCTTTGAGGCACAACCTGGACAGGAGCCCGGACTTACCTCGGAGTTGGCTTTGAGCGAGCTTTGAAACAGGCTGGGAAAGAAAATTTTTGCTTATGCTTATACCTTATTGTGAGACAGTATGTTTTCATGTCACAACAAGATGGGTAGAGCAAACAGCTATTCCTGCTCAACTGCAGTCATGATGAATCCTTTCATCCCTTGAAGAGTTCTGTGCTGTTTGCAGTGTTTTGGTATGCAATGTACAAACTCCGTGTGTTGAGGTGCTCATAGGAAAGAGCTCTGGAAGCATGCTGTGCTGGAGTCTGTTCTGCTGGACTACATGAAGGTAATTGTAAGTTCATGTATGCGTGGAAACCCAGTTGTGCTTCTTTCTGAAGTATAAACCAATCTGCATCTTTGAACTGCTTTAGAGCATAAGATGTACTTGAATTGCTGCTGGTATTTGGAGAAATGCTGGAAAACTGATTAAATAGCAAAAGAACTGCAGTGCATCTTGAACTGAAGGTAGCTTAAGTCCTAATGCAGCTCTTCAATGCAGACTGCACTAATGGGAGTCCTGATTATTGACACTAGGCATATTGATGTTGTTATTACTAAGGGGAAAAATAACTTCAATTTCTGTATAATAGCTATTCACCTAAGTGAAAATTGTGCTTGTCTCTGGCTTTCTTCACAGCTAGTCTAGCATTTTCCTTTGTTCTTGTTCCTTAGCCTCAAGTCTCACATTCTTCTCCTCTGGATTTATTCTTTCATACTTGAAGTGTTCTGCTATCACCACCAGCTGCTGGCGTGACCTCAGTGCTCGTTCTTTGTCAGCAATTGTCTGCCTTTAAAAAAACAAAAAACAACAAAAAACAACAACAAAAAAAAAAAAACCATCAAACAGATCACCATCTCCTTTTAGTTAATCTCATACTTCCTATTTAGGAAATATTTTTCATCAGTTATATATAGAAAATAATGTTGATATACTGATATCACAAGTATTTAAAATAATCTTTAAAAACATGTTTGTCTTAAATTGTGATTTTTTTTTCTAGCATTTGTTATTTTTCAAGTCTTTTTCTGCAAATGTATTTTAGAAATAGGATCTTTCTTCAGCTACGCAGTGTCGGGCTTGCAGAGGAGATATCAAATATACTGAAAACATCAAGAAATGAACAAATATAGCATTGATGTTGTTGCTAACGCCTTGTGCTGTTACATCAAAGCTAGGTTGTGGAATTTGTCTTTAAGGCAACTGTATAAGAGATGACTATTGTAACCATCTCTAATAAAGGTGCGACAGTTAATGCAAGTTTGGGACATGGTGTCAGGAATTGCATGGCAGAGACAAACTAAATCTAGTTATCATCTTTTCAGATGAATTCTGTGTTTAAATAAGCATTAGCCTTTTTATAGGCTACCTGCTCCATATTGTTTCTCTGTCTCTTCTGGAACTGCAGAGGCTTTCACTGATAATCCCCCTTACTGCTAAATATGTTCTTGCATTTTCTCTAACTGTGACTTCTTTGTTGCCACCTCCTCCTGGTGCCTCCACTCTTTTAGTTTGTTTCTGTAACCTAAAACAAAAATGATTATTAATTGCTATAGCAACCTTGAGTTTGCTTGAACAATCTTGGCAGGAGAAGAGGTACTTAGCCTGAAGAGCTAAACAGATTGCCTAAATGAAGGAAAGAGGAATGGGAATAAAGAGAAAACAAGTGCTGGTTAGTGATACTTCACATATGCCTGGTTGGTTCTGCAAATTAGTATTTAAAAAATAAGGAAAGTCTACTTTCCCTCCTAACATCTCTAAGGGGATAAAAACCTGAATTACAAGTTTGAGATGTGCTTTTGGGAGGA